GCGCTCCTCAGTATAAATTTGCACTTGTGGGAAGGCGTGACACCGGCAGCCGGCGACGCACAAACACCCAGCGGCGGTCCGGCAGCCGCGCCGCGCAGCGCACGCACCCCATCACAGAAACACCCCACACTTTCAGGAAGTTAAAGGAGACTGGAGGAGCGATGGTAAGAGGCCCGATGTGAGTGAGATCTGGCCGGGCCCGGGCCGTTGTCCAGTCGTATTTAACTTCTGGCGCAGCTTTTACCAGCGGCCGCACCACCTGCGTATTCTTACGGGCGCTGATGGAGTATTGTAAGTGCCGTCGTGCGTGGCTTTTTTGTCGTGTGAGCTGGTAAACCAAATCTAAACGTGTTAAGCCGCACAAACATCCAGACAGGCTGACTGCATGCTTGTTAAGACATCCGTTGCCAACATGCGGCAAAACCGAATGAGTTCAGGAATCATATTTGAATCGTGGATACACAAACGTTAGGTTCACGTCATCAGTTCCACCAACGAGTTCTGAACTATAACTTATGAAACTACCTACACTACCCCATGACGTTCAGTAGTTAAAAGGGCGCATGGCCTTTGGATCCCGGTCATTTCGAGATACCGTTCAGGTAACCAAACACAACCTCATTTTAACAATGCTGTCAGTGTGAGCTAACGTACATGGTGCCAACACAGTGTAAATTGAGCTTAGTTTTAAACTGCCCAATTGCAGATGGCGATAGTATTGCCGGCGAAACAGCGTACCAGTCATTTACGACCCAGGAGCTGGATGAGTTGTCACGGACGAGGGTCCTGGCTTGAGGTCTTCTCAGCTTGCATTGGTGAAGTCATGTCACTTCCGAGTCGTGTCTTATCAGGAACTTGCCCACCGGCAAAGACATACTTCCGTGAAACACTTGGAACGCTGCAACCATGTCTTCCCTGCAACGTCAGTAGCACAGCGAGGGCAGCTGGAGTCTGAGCATCCCAGAACATGGGCGATTCCTTACTTCCCGGACAAGCCGCGTAACTCGTCACTGAATCCACTCCAGCCACTCCTGATTCAACTCGCCACACGAACCCCAAATGATGATGCTACACCCTCGAATAATTGCGCCAAAATGGACGTACTGTAGTCCTGCCAAGGGTGGCGGCGTGAAACACCAATGCTGGCGAATGACTGTCTCACGACTTCCAGCTTCTGGGTGGCGTTAGAAACCGCCTCTGCTGTCTGCACATGGTGCATGGGCTGGCGTGAGCTTCCAAGGTACTTTTCAGTGGGCACGACTGCGGTCTCGGTGCCGTTCAGAAAGAAGGTCAGTCGCGGGCTGCAAGTGCTGATGTGCATCAATCTATACATGGGTGCGATGAATGGGAGCAATCATGCTCTTCAATCATTCAACCTGACCATTGACGCCAACCTGGAGAGGAAAAGCGGCAGGGTTGACAAGTTGACATGGCGAAGAAAGATTAACCCTTTCCACGCTCACGTTCACGTTCACACCACAGCAGTGTTTTAGACACGGGCCTTATTTGGTGCCAAATCTGAAATGCACGAAACCGGAGTGAACAGAAGTGAAACCCATCGCCTGTCGTCAGACCCATCAAAATAGACTGCAAATATTATTCTGAAAGCAACACAAACGCCGCATTCGATGCTGCAAACAGTGAGCACCGTTGCAACGCTGCATTACTGGATGCTATCAATAAACAGTCTGCGGGCAGGACCAAGTCACGTGTTGCCCCTCACACGGCCGGGGCAATCAGTAGGTGAGGTGTCTGGTGATGAGGCTTCAGTCAGGTCATTACCAGTCCTGTGTTGCCGTCCGGGGGCTGTCCCTGTGGTGACATTACATCCGGCTGATCGTCGATGCTTCTGTCGGCGGCGGAGGTCAGTCAATGGGCACAGCTGTGCATCTCATGGGACATTTCATGCAATGAAGCACCTGAATTTCGATTGTGTTCGGCTATATACATTATCCACTTTTGGAGAATACGACGTTGATTTATTTTCCGTTGCGGCAATTGTAAGAGGACGTAGAGATGTATCCGCCTGGACTCGTCGGCACTGCAGCGAGCGAAATCCGTTCCATCCATCGTCATTTGTTGACGGGCGCACCCCTCAAAAGTATCAAAAGCGATCTGATAACGTATTTCAGTGGGTACTTTGCAGCCCTTCTCTTCAGCACGCGTAATAAGATAATCGACCTTGTTTTTCTTTGTTCGCTGTCTTGTGTGGTGGCGGCTTATGATAAGAATGTTATTGATACATTTCCTTTATTTGTGGTAATATTGTAAACGCAGTTGATCTCTCCTGTCGGTGTTTGGTAGAGTTCCTAACCTGTACTTTCTTTGTATGTTACTATACACGTAGGTGTCACCGTCGAGTTGGGTTAGTTTCACCCCACCAACTTATTGCGATGGACTAGTTGTAAGTAAAAGCGGTGCTCGGTTTCAAGGTGAGCTCAGAAGGGCACTGAGCAGACATCCCCATCAAAGGCCGCTGGTTCGTCACTTGTCAGCGACCAGTTGAGAGAACCTGGGAACTACAGGTCAACCGCAAAGGGGATCAGTGCTGCCATCCCCAAATGGCTGCAAGGGTCACGGAACCGGGGAGGTTGGCGCCCCGTCCGTGTGGCGAGACTGCATGGCACCTCTCCATTAACGTCAGATCGAGCTGCCATCTCCAAATGGCTGCGTGACGGGACTGCATGGCACCTCTCCATTAACGTCAGATCGAGCTGCCATCTCCAAATGGCTGCAAGAGTCACGGAACCGGGAAGGTTGGCGCCTCGTCCGTGTGACGGGACTGCGTGGCACCTCTCCATTAACGTCAGATCGCGCTGCCATCTCTAAATAGCTGCAACAGTCACGGAACCGGGGAGGGTGGCGCCTCGTCCGTGTGACGGGACTGCATGGCACCTCTCCATTAACATCAGATCGCGCTGCCATCTCCAAATGGGTGCAAGAGTCACGGAACCGGGGAGGGTGGCGCCTCGTCCGTGTGACGGGACTGCATGGCACCTCTCCATTAACATCAGGTCGTGCTGCCATCTCCAAATGGGTGCAAGAGTCACGGAACCGAGGAGAGTGGCGCCTCGTCCGTGTGACGGGACTGCATGGCGCCTTTCCATTAACCTCAGATCGTGCTGCAAACCCTTTGACGAATGGGTCCTCTGCTACTTCAAGGGTGCTGGCCTTCACCGAGCTGTGAGGCCTCCAATACCATGCTTAGCGGACAAAGTTTGATCCCATGATCCAATGTTCACTGTGAAAGTTCAAATACAGATTGTCATTTTGCAGCTTGGCGTTCACTTACGGAACGGGGGTTATGCTGATGCCCACCGCACAAACACTTCTCGCCCATTATACTACCGACTTATCCTCAATCCCACGTTCCGGTTGGAATTGATCCTATTGAAAGGGTAAGACCTTGAGGCTTGAGGCCAAACGTCACAATTGTTGGCCAGTGCCAGGTCATGGGTCATACGCTCGTTTATAATCTTGCGTTATTGGCTTTCTAAAGCTGGAAGTATGTTTAAAAGCTGCTTGTGCCTTACCACCCGGCAAACAATTGACTCAGAATGGTTGATGGAACATTTTAAAAGTCGGATATTTCTCGTATGACAAAAATCATGCAGCTGCGAATTCATGCGGTTTTGGAGATCCTGTTTGCTAGCAAGTGGTAGTGAAAACCCGGTTGCAAGACCAGCCGGTCCCTGTAAATCAAACCAAACGACGTCATTGTTAGCAAACGCAGCCCCGGACGTCATGCTCGGTTTTCGTAAACGGATATTGTCGAATTTTATTTTCGGAATAGGAAGGCAGCGTATCGGGTCTGGTCTGGCGCATCTTTGTAAAATGCACTGAAAATTACTTATCAAGCTCTCGCAATACAATCTGACTTTGGCAAGAGCGGAATGTTTTCCAAAGTTGTTAAAGCACTGCATGACCTTTTTGGATAACAAAACAAGGTTTTTAAAATTCTAACCGTGTTCTCGGTGTGATTGGGGCGGGCGGTATGCCCCAACTGGAACAGCTCAGTGACAGAGCCTGACGTCTCTCCTTAAACGACCTGTGCTTCGGCCAGGATAGGTTAAGATGTTTGTGGATTTAGCTCTTGAACGACGGAGAAAATTAGAGCGATTGTAGCTACCCTCTGCAGCCATGGACACATTTTCCTTTACAAGTTTAACAACCACATTTTCAAATGATTGATCCAGAAAACGGTTTATCATAGACGAGACACACAGGTTAACGGAGCGATGGACCGTAAGCACCGCCATATTTCGCGTATAAATATACTACACATTCATGATAAATATGCGTCTAAGTTTGTGAAAACGTTCAATATCTGTAAAGTTCGTGGCCATTTTGATCTTAAAATAAGCGTAATTTCTAGATTTTGCACACTTTTTCGTTTTCGTTACTAAAACAACGTGGTGGGCATTTCCATACCGACTCATCTACCGCGCACCGAGTCGGTGATCGCACGCGCAGAAGTCCACCGCCACACCCCCTGGTGTCAGGTCCGTGACGCGGGCTGAGGTGGCGTGCGGGGAGAAAGGGGGTGCACGTTGGTTAACGTTGCGCAGTTAGTTAACGCGCATCATTACAAACTGTGAGGAGAATTTGCTTGAAAAAAAGACAATTACCACATCGAGGTGTGTAAAAAGGTGGTGAGATCTGCTCCTGAATGTTCGCGTTCTGTCTGGATAGCGCAAGGGTGGGACGGCTGTTGGTCGGTACATCGCCATACACACCTGTACGCAAGTTACCGAGGGTATTTTGTCTCTCGGCATTCAAGTTTGAAATAGGTTTCAATATCAATGAAAACAATTTCCACAGCGTTAGCTCTAACAGACAGCGCAGATGTGACGCTTTTAGCCATATCGCAGAATGCATTACGTCCACACAAGCTCTTAAAGGTCACAGAGACCCTGAACATATGGGCAGTTTATTTTTTATATTCAGTTTGAGGGGAACTCGTCGCGCATCGCTGCACACCCTTCGTGGAGCGCCAGATGCTACGGGGTTCAAAATAAGCGCTCAGATGCTACGGGGTTCCAAATAAGCGCTCAGGTGCTACGGGGTTCCAAATAAGCGCTCAGGTGCTACGGGGTTCCAAATAAGCGCTCAGGTGCTACGGGGTTCCAAATAAGCGCTCAGATGCTACGGGGTTCAAAATAAGCGCTCAGATGCTACGGGGTTCAAAATAAGCGTTCAGATGCTACGGGGTTCAAAATAAGCGCTCAGGTGCTACGGGGTTCCAAATAAGCGCTCAGATGCCATCGTGCGAGCCTGTGTTCAGAACTTTGAGTATCTCCTACACGGTGACGAGAGCAGCGTCTGTGATAAACACGGCCAGTGTCAAGCAGGAATGCTGCTCATGTTCAGCAGTTATTGGTAAGCCCAGACTGCGGCGGACCGAAGCGCGCATTTGCTGCGCTTGCGCTCCCCTATGCTGAGAAGTTCGCCATTTTGCCGCGCTTGAGCTCTGCGAAGCCCGCCATCTCGCCGCGCTCGCGCACCCTTATGCCGCGAAGCCGGCCGTTTCGCCGCGCTCGCGCACCCTCATGCTGAGAAGCCCGCCATTTCGCCGCGCTCGCGCACCCCCCTGCTGCGAAGCCCGCCATTTCGCCGTGCTTGCATACGCTCGTTCGGCGAAGCCCGCCACTTTGCCGCACGTGCAGACGTTCGTGCTGCGGAATCTCGACCCGGCTGCGAGTATCTGTGGACTGGCCTGCAGCACCACTGCAGCACCGGGCCCCGGCCATCCGGCGGCACCACTGCAACACGCCAACTCAAACACGCTCCGTATACACACCATCGAACAAAGCAACATTCACAATTGCTGGCAGTTCTCACACAAAGCTATTGCAGCGCCCACGACAGCCTCTTCAGTTTGACGGTCCTGCTTCGGTAACAAAAAACATGAGAATTCGAACACGACTTTGCCAGCGAGGCAGATGTGGATTGGTTCTGGTGCATCCAACGGTGTACGGGCGGCAGCATTGGAAGACTGATGTGGACAGCCAACACGGCACTATGCATAACCCACCTGTTCCACTGATCGCTAAGCTCTTCACTATTTCCTTAGGCCAATGTATCGTCACGCATTTACAAGGGCTTTAGGACATATGCGACGCATCGGAACGAACGAAGAACAACAATCACTCATCTGCAACGACAGGCAAATAAGCAGTTAAAGATAAGCCCAACGGAGATGGCACTCGTGTGTGAGTAGAAAAATTAACACCTTGCACAGGGTGGCCTGCCAGACCCTAAACACCACGACCGAAGTCTCAGAGGAAATCATGTACGATGTCGCCAGGCGACACGATCAATAACGCAGCAAGGGTTGGCCAACGGCGAACAACATAAGGGTCATAATGGTGTCCTGCTCTCCGCTAACGACAAATACCGACCACTGACGCGCAAGCAGCGACTAAGCAGCGCGTGCGCAGCCTCCGCCGGAAAGCTCGCTGTCTCAGCTCACACCAGCTGAAACCGCCAGACGGAGAGCGGCCGCTTGAAGCGGGTGACGGACGACGTCTCCCTGCCGCCGAGTGTGTACATGTAGACGGGGTAGTAGGGCACCAGCGTTTGGTCCAACTGAACGCCGTCACGCACAGGGCTGCTGGATCGCGAGCGCGGCCTCTCCGAAATGCCCGAGTCCTGCGACCGGCACAGTGGCGCCATCTCAAACTCGGCACCCGACGGTAGCGCCGCCACGCGGTAGCCCACGTAGTTGGGGTTGTCGTACCCGGTGATGTCGCAGTGCTCGATGCTCGAGTAGTCGGACGTCCCGTCGCTGTCGGCGCCGTGCGTGATGCAGATGAGCCGCGCCGACGACGACGACGACACCCCCGACGAGAGGCGCGATGGCAGCCGCGGCGAGCGGTGACCGGTCAGCATGGGCGCGCACGGGCCGGGCCGCGGCGCGTGCCGCTTGGCCGGCTCCGGCGGCGGCACGGCGCCGCCCAGCAGGTCCGGGTACGACACGTGGTCACGTGGGAAACCGCCGCAGCCGACTCTCATCTCCACCGGCGGCATGGCGTGCGTGCTGTACGACTTCGGCAGCTCAGAGGACGAGGTGAGCGACGGGCCGATCGGCTGCATCTCGACGCTGTCGCCGCTGCAGCTGCTCAGAGCTGAGTAGCTCGGCTGCTGCCGGCCGGCCAGGTTCACCTGCGAGATCCGCCACAGCAACTGACTGCCGGACGCGTGCACGCGCGGCCACGCGCCGCCCTCGCGGCCGGGCCGCGGCACCGCCGCCGCGCGCCGCTCCTCGTCGCCGCAGCGGTCGGCCTCGGTCGACGGCGGCGGCGGTGCGCCGGGCCGCCTCTCCGTCACTGGCCCCACCTGCACGCGTCGGCGGGCGTGCAGCACGTCAGCGTGCACCACAGGGACGGTTGGCCGGCCGGCGGTATCACCGGCGGTGTCAGCACCGGCGTCAGCGGCGGCGGCAGGATGGCTGTGTGGCCGCTGCAGCCGGCGTCGCTCGGCGGGCAGTAGCAGCGCGCTGACGGCCACGGCCGAGCACTGCGAGCGCGCCGCCGGCTGCGGCTCGCACGTTGGCACCCGCTCCCAGGTCTCCGTGGCTGAAACGGAGCCGACGCTAGCTCAGGCCGACAGTCCATGCCTACGCACACACCGGGACACCTTGCGGCCCTCACTGCGACATAATCGTGTTAATATTTAGATAAACTTGTTTTGTTGCCTGTCAACAGTAGGAATTTGTTGCCTGCCTGGAAACTGTGGCGCACAGTGCAGCTAGTCTCGACTGCGTCTATATAGGACGAAACTGTTGTCATAACTACCATGACAGTGCTATACATGTGAAATAGCATATCCGAACAAGACAGCGCAAAAACGGGTTGGTGAGTTCATAGAAGGCACAGTTCAAAGTTAACAGCATGACAAGATTAAAAGTTCAAATAAAAGTAATGCATACAAAGTTTGCGAGTCGAAATCGTACCGTACAACAAGCTAGGCGCGGTGTTCAACACGCGCTCAGGTACTGATGAGCTTGGCCCTCCGAAGATTTCCCACAACAACTTTCGGCAAGCACAGCGCAGCCACCCCCAACTTCCACCGTCTGTAAGTTATTGAATAGCCGGCGTCTTTGCACACACAAACGAAACATACCTTGTCAGGTCCCTGACCTATGGCGGGTGAAAGGCACGGCGTGGCTGTCAAGGAAGGCCATCGCAATGGAGTTGTTCAAAATGATGTGACAACGTAGCGTTAAACAAAGTCATAAAAAATGAGATGGTGTTTTGGACAGCTACACTATTGCAATCGGGACTGCGACTGATTTATTTGACCTTGGGTCAGATATGAAATATATGTATAGCTGGAAAAATTGTTTAATGAGGCCATTGTTGACGCGCGCTTTAAATTCCTGGATAAGGGCGACGCCAAAATATGTATTATTTTAGTTTTATGAAAAGGAGAGGTTACTGACCTGAAATGAGCTCGGCAAACACTTTGTTTTAAATAATATACTGCCAAGAGAGGTATTTGGCGCGTATTGTAAGTTCACATGCCCAAATAATCCCCAAGGTTTTGGGCCATTTGCGCCCTCCAAAAGTCAGACATGGCCACTGGCCTGATATAAAGACCGCTGACACTTTGCTTGTTATCCATATTAAGGCTGGTTGCATGAGATCAGAGTGCACTTCGGACACCGATCTGGAGTTTGACCTTATCTGACCGAAGGCCATGGCCTAAGGACCTCAGCAATGGGCAAAGCGAGTGTAGATAGAGCCCTATCCGACCTGCAAAGTGCGGTGTCTCTAGCGTTCTCAGCTTTTGAGACCTCAAGAGGTCAAATTGCAACCCCTACGCACACTCGCACGCGGCAGATTACACCAGCCACTCGGGGGCGTGTTAAGCACACAGTGCGGGAGGTCTCCAATGGTCGCTGGTCGACGAGCGTCGGATATTTGGAATGGCCCGACAAACGGGTGCTTTAGATAGGTGATAAGCCTGGGGGCGGATGTATGAAACCTCGTGGACAGTTATGTTGCCGCAGGCTTGTCGTCGCATCAACGTAAATATCGTGGCCCTCACACATGCCGACTTCTAGGCTTGCTCGCATTGTACACGACTCGTTGGGGGACAAACAGGTGGGTCAGTTAACGGTGAGCTCTAATGGGACGCTTTACCTGCACATGGATGTAGCAGAGAACGACACAGACACAGACACAGACACAGACACAGACACACACACACACACACACACACACACACACACACACACACACACACACACACGCACACGCACACGCACACGCACACGCACCCACACCCACACCCACACCCACACCCACACACACAGCCAGTCACAACTTTGCTAATTGCTTGTTCAAACACGTACGCCAGCGCACCACCTAAAGACAGGGAATGCCTGAGGCGATCCATAACACTTTCGGAGATAGAGGACTGGGTCCTGAAACATTACCAGCATAAAGAGCCTGTATTAAATACGGAATCTTCAAGATGCTGGGGACGAAGACAAATTGCGAGCATTTACCCACGGCTTTATAACTGGGCTCCGTATAGTGGCCATAAACAAACTCACACAAACAAGACGCTCAGATTCAGGAGACCATTAAGGCACTAGATTCTGAGGCATACAAGCGCCACAAACTGTAGTTCTTCAACTCCTTTCAGGCAAAAAAGTGAGATTTCAAGGAAAAAGAACACATAACCATATCGAAACTCAGGAGCATTCAGCCATCCGTCACACATATTCACTGTCTACAACACATCAGCGTCTGGCGTTCGGCCAAACCCTGTTGTGTGGTCCTGCTGTCCGTGCCCGGAGGGGACGTCCAGAAGCCGACGAGTCGCATGCCACCGGCAAAACCTCACCACGGGCGGCGACACGCGCCGCATTCGTAACTATTTACCGCTGATCAGCGACAACGGCAGCCAGTTAACGAGGTATTGATTCGGTCGCCGCCTGGGCGTGGATTAGCGCGCCCCGCTCGGCTCCGGCGCCTCTGACAGGACGCGGGAGGCGTGTCGCTTCTCTGACGGGAGGCGGGGGCGTGCCGCTCTCGTCTCTGGCGGGAGGCGGGGGCGTGCCGCTCTCGTCTCTGACGGGAGACGGGAGGCGTGTCGCTTCTCTGACGGGAGGCGGGGGCGTGCCGCTCTCGTCTCTGACGGGAGGCGGGAGGCGTGTCGCTTCTCTGACAGGAGGAGGGGACGTGCCGCTCTCATCTCTGACGGGACGCGGGAGGCGTGTCGCTTCTCTGACGGGAGGCGGGGGCGTGCCACTCTCGTCTATGACGGGAGGCGGCAGCGTGCCGCTCTCGTCTCTGACAAAAGGCAGCGACGTGCCGCTCTCGTCTCTGACGGTGGCGTGCCACCCTCACCCCTGAAGGGAGGCGGCGGCGTGCCACTCTCGTTTCGGACAGGAGACGGCGGTGTGCCGCTCTCGACTCTGACGATGGCGCGCCACTCTCGCCTCTGACGGGAGCCGGCGGCGTGCCATTCACGTCTTTAACGGGAGGCGGCGACGCGCCACTCTCGTCTCTGACGGGAGGCGGCGGCGTGCCACTCTCGTCTCGTCGTCAGCAGCAGCGGCAATGTTCGCATGCCCAAAGGCTAGATGCCGCTCGCAGAAGAGGTCGGAGTGTCAAAATGCTCGTGCAGGTTCACAGCGGGAAGAAGAAAGCTTTAAAAACTGTTTGCAGATGTTGAATCAACTGGCACTATGTAATTATATGAAATGCTACGCTAATTTGAGGACAAATTGCATTTTTGAACCCTGCCTTCAATACCGTAGCCTTGAAGTGGAGCAACTGGAGCAGCAAACGCAGTCCGCAGTTCTTGCTGGAGGAGAAGACGTGGTTAATGACTCGAGCCGGCGGTCAGACGTAGACAGACCGGCTATCGGAATGCCTTTCGGGTCCATCCATTGTTTAGCAAGCAGCTATTCCTCTCATTTTTTCTCTTCCTTCTCATCTGGCTCTATTTTTGTTGCCGGCGGAACATGTCTCCTTTGGATGCACGCGTCTATTCGAATGTCAGCGTTCAGTTGTAATCCCAGTGAGAAACCGACAGTGAGATAAAGCGCATGGGCCCACACTGATGCCACGGTCGTCCGTCTCGCTGAGCTCGGAATAGACCCAAGTTGAAAAGGTCACCGACTCCGTCAGCACAAACTTTTACCAAGTTCGCCGCCATTTCGTATAGAAAGGTCACGGCTCGGCCGTGCAACACGTAGAAATAGATAAATATGCCTGTCCACCACTAAAGCACCTTGGCCACCGAAATCAGCATCCAAACCCAGTGAGCCTGACGCGACCGAGCGCTGATTACGAAATGTGCGCCAACTGCGAAGGAGAGTTCTCCGATCGCAAAAACTGTCTCCGGCTCGGCTGGAAGCCTGGAAGGACCAGCATGTTCAGCCATCCGGCCCATCATTCCCCCAACGTGTCCATGCCCCATCAGGCAATTCCCCCGATGAGCCCATCGCTGGTTCATGAGCTCCACATTCTTGCCCACAATGAACATCGATCAAAGCTCCACTTCTGGATCATCTCCAAACCCGGACGAGGTCCAGAGGCGGGAGGTACAGGCCCATTGCATATCGTCTCCAGACCCGGACGAGGTCCAGCGACAAGAGGTAAAGGCCTATTGCATATCGTCTCCAGACCCGGACGAGGTCCAGCGACAAGAGGTAAAGGCCTATTGCATATCGTCTCCAGATCCGGACGAGGTCCAGCGACAAGAGGTAAAGGCCTATCACATATCGTCTCCAGACCCGGACGAGGTCCAGCGACAAGAGGTACAGGCCTATCACATATCGTCTCCAGACCCGGATGAAGTGCAGCAGCAGGGGGTACCGGCCTTTCATATCAGCCGACCAGCGGCTGCTATACAGCTGTGGACGGGCAGGCCAAGGTGCTGACGGGCAATGCCAAATCGTCTCACATATACAGGATCACAGAGAGATCACAGGCATCGAACCGAAGGCGCGTCAGAGTTACAGCACCAGGTGGAACTCACCGACACAAGAACAAAGAGAGCTCAGAGTCAAAGAGCCGAGGGGTGATCAGAGGTAAAGGACCAGAGGGTCATTGATAGGCGGCAGGGGTGCAAGGGACGAGCGGGGACACGCAGAAACTCAGTAATCTCTGATCAGGAGCGTTCACACCGGTACGGCCCAGCCAGGTCTGCCAGCCGTGTGGTCTGGGCGGTGGAGGAGCTCACGGCTGGCCGTGTGGCCTGGGCAGTGGAGGAGCTCACGGCTGGCCGTGTGGTCTGGGCAGTGGAGGAGCTCACGGCTGGCCGTGTGGTCTGGGCGGTGGAGGAACCCAAGGCCGGCCGTGTGGTCTGGGCGGTGGATGAGCCCAAGGCCGGCCGTGTGGTCTGGGCGGTGGAGGAACCCAAGGCCGGCCGCGTGGTTTGGGCGGTGGAGGAGCTCGCGGCCGGCCGTATGGTCTGGGCGGTAGAGGAGCACACGGCCGGCTGTGTCGCTCACGTGTGACAGCCCTCGGATGGCGTACCCCTCCGGCGATATCAGCCCGTATAGTCTATGTACGTAATCATCTCAGGCTTACATATTACCCGCTTAGCTACCCCAAGCATCAGACCTACTGGCCGCCAATCTAAATTATTCAGAGATGTTGTCTTCCTTTTAAGACATCTGACCTACTGACCGCCAATCTGAACTATTCAGACATAATGCCTGCCGATTAAGACATCAGATCTGACGATAGGCGCTTGACACAACGCGCGCCTATCTAAAGGCATCAAATACCACCCTTATTTGAGATGCTAGGCCTGCCTGCCCGTCTGTGATGTCAGGCGTGTGTTTGTTTATATTATGAGTTAAACGCACATCTGAGGCATTAAGCCATTTACGCGTCAGCCATTAGGGACGGGGACGTCGAGGTTTTGAATGCATGGCTTCCACCCAACTAACCACCGTTGACACGACGCTTGATTTCGGACAACAGATGCGTTCCGTACCCCATTCCGTCGCGAACCGATGATAAGAGTGATAGATGTGTGAAACGCCAAAAGAAAACGCTCGCTTAGCAGCGCTTGTCGTACGTGAGAGTGAGCCCACCAACCAAGTTGTGTCATTCCAGCTTGTCGCACAGCTTTGCTTCAGCTGTTTAGGAGTACAGAACTGCAGAACTGGCGCGACGGGGAACGACAGATACAACACGGCCGCTCAGGGACTGGAGCTTAATGACAGAAAAGTGGCGTCTGGCGCCTTAAACGCGATATCCACCTGCCCAGGCCATACAAGACATCCGCTTGCCTCCGGTGGCGGCAGCCGTCCATTATTCTCCTGCCGAGCCGCAGCAGACGTCCATTATTCTCCTGCCGAGTCGCCGCAGACGAGGCTGCTTCCCGTCTCGGACGCTACAGAGCTGACGCCACTCACGGCGCCTCGCAGCCGAGCCGGCCAACAAACGCTGGCAAGGCTCAGGTTCAACCCCCGCCGCGAGCAATCGACCCGGCCTGTGTCCGACGCAAAATCGATGACGTCAGTGGGAAAGGGAAGAGTGAAAGTTGCTTTTTTAAAAAGGAAACACTCGCGAGCCACGCGCGGTGATGAACATTTCGGATGCCAAACATGTAGAGTGGGGCGGCTGGATAGCATGTGAGCGGCCTGCGACGGTCATGCTTAAGGTGCAATAAAGTTTAAATGGCTTCTGAGACTGGAGATAATGGGAAAGAATTGCTGGATTAATTCAAGCTCAAACTATCATTTAGCTTGGCGAGGCTTGCTAACAGCACTAACTCGGGAGGAGACAACATCAGCTGTACAGACGGGATTTAATGCCCCGGCATTAGCAACCGGCCTTTTTAGCGCTTTAGAAAAAGCCAAGTCTGGCTACATTAGCATAGCAGGCACATTCGAGCATCGTTTCACTGGCGCTGTTTCTAAGACAGCCATAGCGCACGGATCACTTGAGATATCAACTCTTGCCAGAGAGAGCCGTTTTCACACTCTCAACCCACGAGGGGGAGTTTGGCAGGCACCCCACTAACTCTTAAACTAGGACGGCTATAGCATCAGAATGAAAACCAGCGTGCTTGCTCGTGGTCAACGATATCTTGAGATGTTCAGAGCTTTCTGTGTGATAGCCATAATCCAAATTGAAACAAAATGTTCTCGACTGTATACCTACCACACTGCGAAACCAGAAAAAATGCATTGAGCATTGGCGCGTTCTCTGCTTTTTTCCGGTTTTGAGAATATTCAGATTTCTTGGTCTAAGTCAACTGAATGCCCCCACCCCACAGGTCAGGAAAGCATCACCACAGGGGAATCATTCATAGGACCACATGGCATATAGTTCACTACTGGTAGCTGTAGCACTAAACAAGGAAAAGTGACGGGGAAAACCCGATGTCGGGATCACCGCCGAAGCTATCCAGTTGCACCTGTTTTGTTTTTAGTTCAGTATGTAACAATATATAAGGACAAGCTACGTCGTTGGGGTAACGCATGTTGTACTGCTAATAAATGCAGATATTTGCTTAACAATAATCGGATGAACTTACTGTGAGCTTGCTTTCACTCTTCCAGTTATGAATAATTTGCAACAGATGCATTTGACCTTTGACGGGTCAAGGCCAGGCACGCTTATAAAGCCAAAAGATTCGTCCCGGTTAGCTCAGGTAGCAGAGCACTGGATTCGCAATAAAAAAGACCCTGGTTCGAGACGCAGCAACGCCACAGGGACAATTCGGGTTAGCATGCATACGTGACTGAAAGTCCAACCAACCACAGTCAGGTGTTGTTGAGTCAGGACTAAACAACACCTGGCGATCGGAGAGTTAACTGGCGGGAACGTGTACCAACTGATGCATGGAATGGTGAAGATTGAGCTGTGGGCGGAGCAGAAGGCTGAGACCGGAACTGTCTGCTTTTGCATGTGATTGTTGTTATTGGAAAAATGGGTCGAACACCCTTCATTCGCGTTTTTAAAGTATTTGACCCTAGGTCACGTCACAGTGTTGTCCCCCCCCCACCCACAACTCATTGCGTTAAATCGATTAATTTAAATCGGCGAATATTTCAAAGCGATCGGATGAGCGGTTTCGTAGCACCAGCATGTATGCTGGATATGCCAGTTCTTTGGTCCTATCCGTAGTAAGGCCCTATATACGAAGTAAGGTCACCATGTGATTTCTTTAACTCTGCACAAGCCGCCGCGTGACGTCAGTGGGAGCCGCTTGGTCGGTGGCCCCCGGCGACCACCGAATAGGAGAGCCAAGATTTCAGCCACCAGAAGCCGCTCCAGCAGCAGCAGACCCATGCGCCGCACTCCAGCAACGGCAGACCCAGGCTTCCCACCCGCCCCCCCCCCCCCTCTCTTGCAGGTTCAGACCCGCTGCTCGTCCAGACTAGCCTAAATCCCCTTTAACACCGGTGACAAAAACTTTTAAGATCAACAGGTGAATATCATTGTAAAGGGGATGTTCCGCATTCGAAGATATTGAAGCAGGCATCAGATGCGGTGAAATTGGTATTCTTTTTAGCGTAAAAGACTGCTCTAAAAACACAATTCCGTGTTCAGTAAAAATGCTCCTCAACCCGTCATTGTCTGATTACGTCATCGTACCTTGAAAAACATTGAGAGCCAAGTGACAGCCATTATATCTGGAAATCGTGCTCACAAACACCATATATGAACGACTCGACAACTATATTTCGTTTGGCCGTGATCGTCATATGGTTAACGGAATGACAGAAGTTTAATGACATGATTATGACGTCATAGACTCTTGGAAACCTTGAAATGATCTCCTAGAAACATTCTGCATCCGGTGTGTAGCTCCGAAACTAGGGGGGTTTAGGCCTCAAGAAGGGCATGGCTGTGTGCTGCACCAAATGACCCTCAAGATAGCTATTTCAGCTCAAAACCCCCATACAAACCGCGATGATCACGCCCAGCCCGGCCCCAGCGGTCCACCGCTCATCCAAAAGTTGTTGAACAATCAAAATGATCGCTGGATTGTTGACGTTTATGCCACTCCCATCGACGTCACCGTGGGGTGGTTGCTAGATAACTTGGTTTCCCTATGACCCTCAACACTGGTGGCGACCCATCTGCACAGTGTTAGGCTAGTCGATTTGTGCTATGCGTAAATGTCGTTCCTTCGTAATCCTTGCGCAATGTTTGGGAACATATCGCTATGCATGGTAAGCAGGGCCCTGTACAGGCCGTAACAGCATCTCAAGTAATTGGTCTTGCAAATTTAACTCGTAGGCCCACAGTTCAATCGTTACCGGACTTCACGTACATGCTTACGTGCTTCATCCTCCGTTGGGCCCCAGTGCCGGCGCACGGCCAGTGCATTCAATTGACAGCCGCATTCCAGTTCATCCTCACCGTCCTCTCTCGTGCTCAGGGATTCTTCCCTCCACCCATTCATGCTCAAGTCCGCCATTTCTGCCACGTCTGCGCTTCTCTATGGATGCATGCTATCAGACAATAAGTTCCTGGCAACCTGAGCCTCTACACGAGCCTTGGAAATATTATATATGGTCAGATTCAACCAAAACAAGCTCACAAACAACACGAATCGTAACGCTAAGCTCATCTCTCGCCTCCTGTTAACGCATCCGCTCCTCTTATCCGGCGATTCGTTCCCGAGTTGTTCATCGGATCGCCAGCCATCCGTCACCAACCGGTCAATTCGCCTCTCCCCACACATGTTTGCAAATCTGCCCCCTCACCGCCACACACCCTACCCCCACCGACACACATACACACACACACACACACACACACACACACACACACACACGCACGCACGCACGCACGCACGCACGCACGCACGCACGCACGCACGCACGCACGCACGCACGCACACACACACATTCGTCCCGCGCCGTCGGGCCCCCGGCCCGAGCGTGTGCCGGAAACACCCACCGAAGTGGAGCCGCCAGACCTCGGCCGTGGTTTGGCCACGCGACTGGCCGCCGTACACCAGCATCCAGGCGAGCAGGCGGCAGGCGGCGTGGCCGTGCAGCGGGCCCGGCGGAGAGCCGCGCCACCGCACCGCCGTCCACAGCAGCGAGTCTGCAACACAGCACGCCTGTTAGTGCCGTCCACAGCAGCGAGTCTGCAACACAGCACACCTGTTAGCGCCGGCCACAGCAGCGAGTCTGCAATACAGCACGCCTGTTAGTGCCGTCCACAGCAGCGAGTCTGCAACACAGCACGCCTGTTAGTGCCGTCCACAACAGCGAGTCTGCAACACAGCACGCCTGTTAGCGCCGTCCACGGCAAAGAGTCTGCAACACAGCACGCCTGTTAGCGCCGTCCACAGCAGCGAGTCTGCAACACAGCACGCCTGTTAGCGCCGTCCACAGCAGCGAGTCTGCAACACCAGGAAGGTATCACTCGCCCTCTTCAGTAGCGATATTGCAACGGGGAAGGTTTGTTGGCTCTGTGCACAACAGCTATTATGCAGCACTGGAATGCCTCCTGCTCTCTACATTCGGGGATCTGTAGCTAAGGAGATGTCGTTACTCCCGACAGCAGCGAGTCTGCAACAACTGGAGGCTAAACGCGATAAAGTCTTCCCCCAGCCACAATAACATCCAGGCACTGAATGAAGCACCGCGCAATCGTCTCCGTCTTCAGACGGCCTCTTGGCAGGCATTGCGAGTTATGTAGATGATAGTACAGTTTGTTTATGTGAACCAAACCGCAGATGCATCGCTTCACACACATCTAACATGTCCAGGACCTGTTTGGTGCCCCGTTGGCTACCCACCACGGGTGCCATGGTGAGTTCCCCACTGGGCGGGGGGGGGGACACGTACCGAGGTCGAGTTTCCAGAGGTCGGCGCGCTCGGTCAGGTCGGTCATGCCGCCGAACACCCACATGGCGCTGTCGTGGACGACGGCCGAGTGGGCGTGGCGTCCCTCGGCCGGACCGGGCCCCGTGCGCAGCTCCTCCCACCGACCCGAGGCTGGCGGCAGGCGCGGCACTTCAGAAACGGGCACGCACACACGTGCGCGCCCGCAATCGCGCACGCCACACGCACGTGCGCAGCGACACACACGCAGGCGCAGCGACAGCGGGCTCACACAGCACGTAGTTGATGAACTGACGCAATGGTCTCAATTTGTTCAGACACACCAATAGGTCCTGTGGTGTGACAGTGTGTCACCAAACACACCAGCTTCTTTAGCACAGCACAGTTCCCCTAAAACTTGTTCGTACTGTCCCTTTACCACCTACTTGTTTGCCACTATTCCGCTCGCGAGGAAGTGCTTACAGCTTCGTGCGCGTGATGTTTCGCGAATGCTCCCGTGATAACTGAGCCAACTCTGTCTATCTTCGTGGGTCGGTTAATTTGTATAACTGACATTGCCATCACATGCAGACAAAAGAGGGACGGCTTATGCCAGCAGACGACAACCAACACTCACAGAGCTACCGGGCAGAGCACAACGGACTCGCGCTCCCAAAATCCCGCAGTTGGCACACAGAGTCGCCGAAATTGACGCGCTCCAACTGCATTATGAAGTGAGTCTATGCCATTGACGGGTGAGAACAGCTGTGACCCGTGCGTGATAACCACCACGCCATGTGGCAATGATCCACCACCTTACTTCAAAATTTCCACACACTAAGCGACAGCGCCAGGATGTTGCCGCTGCTATAGTCTGCCAAAACAGACGTGCCACCGGCGCTGTAAGGTGCGAGCCTCGTCTGCCAGAGGAGGCGTTTCCCAGAACAAAACCCGGCAATACCGCCACCCTGAAAAACCGGAGAATAATCCCAAGCGGCGGACCCAGACGCCTGGTTTGGCGCGAGAAGCACACCACTGCATTGGTATTTCCTCTAAAATGTGAGACACTTGATTTAACAAAATGCATCAGAAATTGACATATGCAGCCCATATCTGGAAGATCGACCACAACCAATAATTTTGTACTGACTCTCTTTAAGACTAGAACTTAGTAAGTAAAACTATTCAACTTTGCTTTAAGTACGCCACTGGTGGATCCATCCAGTTAGGGATAGGGACTAAGCCGCTCGGGCAAATGACGTACAATATACATGCACGAGGATGCGTTTTTACGAGGATATTCCTTAAATTATTCAATGCTAAGTTACACGATAACAGAGATAGTCGACTACCTGAGATTAAGCTCCGGGCATCCTGGCTGCACGCCCGCGTGCAGTCCGACCGGCCTGCTCCTCATGGAACCACGCATCATGAATGCATTTCAGCTTTTCACCTGTGTCAACTTGTACCCAACCTTTGCCATACGCTGGTTACACTGTTCAAGGAGCTTAAGGATGAGGAAAACATGCACTAAATTCCAAACTGATCCACATTTTTTGATTCTCTTACCTTCATTCTTATCTAAATATGGCGGCCTTTCTCTTCGTCTGTTCTCGAAAAAGTTTACAAAGGTCACCTGCCCCTTCATTTTCACCGCAGTTCTCTTCCAGTTACTGTCAGGCCCGCCTGGGTACTGTCTCTTTGAAAGATGGCTCCAACCAATCACCTCGCGTGAAAATCCCATGTTTTGCGAGGAAACGTACTCATAAGCATAATTGTCCAAACTAAGAGAAGAGGCTGAAGTGCTTCCAGATGGAAACACAAGCAAACTTACACAACTCATCCACGTTCGCTATTCTTGTTGCTCGTTTTATTATTGCCAAATCAGTTCCCAACAGACCAACATATTTGGGATCAATGCCCCTCTTCTGAGCGTATGAGCAGGGGAAGGCTGGAATGACCCCTGCCATCGATTGGCCGATACAAGCGGATGACTTTGGTCGGGCGCTTTTTCATCCCGATGAAGCCCTGGAACTCTGCAGCCGTCAGACCTCGCTCCGTTCGCACCGCACAACATGTGCCATCCCGCTACGATTGGATAAACCAGGGGGGGGGGGGGCGCACCTAGGGCACCGAAGCACACAGGCTTGGCTGAATAATGGAGGCTTAATCGAGTCCGAAGCTGATTTGTCACAATGCATTTGATTACCTGATTACAACCTCCTGATTGAATCCTGACATCATGCTCGCTCCAACCAAAAAGAAAGAGCCTCACGGAAGGAACAACAGTGGATTGGTCTCAACAAAATCTCGTGAGTTGTGATCGGTTTGATTTTGCTGGGCACATAATTGAACATTTCTTCCTGAAAATCATACTATTTTAGACATACATGCCCAAATTTACAAAAACATCGTACGTAGAAAAACAAACTTTGAACGTTCAAACTTTTCGTTTAATTCTGAGCACACCAATATGTAGGGTGGCGTGTGCCAGCGTGCTTTATAATGCAGGGCTTCATTAAGGTACCAGAGTCGACCTGCCCCGGGCGATCGGTGGATTCCTCGGTTCCCGACTGCCAGCCACGCCGGCCGTCGAACGCCTTGCAGTGTTCCCTAAAAACCGCCGCTATCCAGAAACCAGAAGTGCTGGACACAAGGGTTTGCCCTCAAAACACACCGTACCATGAATTCCCCACAGGCTCTTACCACTTGAGCGCAACTGTCAAATAAGCCGGAGAGATATCTTCAAAAAATGGATGGCGGAGGTCGCCTCGACCACCTCCCCATCAGGCGAGCGCTAGTAACACAATGGTATGCGAGCTGCTAGGCGTGCAGATTGTGTACTCGCAGATCAACTCGATATTGTGCAACGTAAACCCTGTTGGGCCCGTGGCATAAACGTTCTGGCCGACCAGATATCTAAAAAGTAAGGCTTCATTACTACAAAATTGACAAAGGGGTTCATAATACATTTGTGTCATAAAGCAGGCTGTCTTGAGGTACGATTCATATCAGATTTTCTGCTTCAACAGAGAACATACGGTTTAGCACCAACACAATCGGTGTATCGTAAAAACGTATTTGTTGTCATCACGTCCTGTTGCAACACTCCGATAACAAGTATGCCAGATGCGTGATATAAATGACTGGTTATTGATCTCCGATCAATTCAAGCAGACAAAAAAGACGTGCTTAGAAGTTAAAAAGCCCAATGCCAGGGTTCGGTGATCTCACATCAGCACCGTTGGGGCGCATAGGTAAAGTTGCTCTTGCCAGCACAGCGATCACCAACCAGAAGCGGAGTTATACGCTCAACTGAGCTTGCACATAATGAGTGGTCAGCTTCATCGTCAACATTAGGCCAAGTCACGCTAATTCAGCCCTTCAGAACGCTATGCTGCATCTGCTTTCGTTTTCTGTTGGGGAGGGGGCTCCCTGTCACAATTTCTCACCCGAATTATCGCAAGACTTTCAATGACATACCACAGCTGGTCACAATTACTTTTCACTCCCGTCTATCAACTTCTGGTTGGTCTTCACTGAACGGACACCGAAACAGACTGAGGATTGCGTTGGCTTAGACTGTCTTGAGACGACCGACGAGAAACCTTCAACGTGAGGTTGAGAAAACAATGTAAAATTCTGATCGCAAGTCGGAGACAAAGACTGCCGACATCACCCGACCGCGCAGGTCATGAAAATGGACACTAAACGGCGCTCAGCCTGGGGACCAGGCTGCAACCATGTAAGGTATCAGAAATAATCATGGTCTCGATCCACATTAATCTAACAGCTGCCCACTTTATTTTATCTGGACCCTCTCCGAAGCTTTGTGTGGCTTGCCATCCACCCAGCTCCTTGCCCTTCCATCCTCTGTTTCCACGCATCTGCTGCGTTGACGGTATTGCGGGCAACTTCGGCCGAATACAAACGCCTCATATGAGCATTATTGGATCATATTTTGGTTGCAGATGGCGCCTCGGCTAGAAGAACTCTCGAGATGGCACCGAACTCCAGAGGAAGAACTCCCGGTACTCCAATTGGCGACGCACATCCCCTTAACACGACTCTTCGTTTTGCCCGCCCTAACAATGCTCACACTGCGGCCCGTGAGTGTGCAAGAAAACGAGGGATGCAATCTACCTCAAGGGCGTGTGACGCACGCAGTTTAAACGCTCTGGTTGAAAATCAATGGCGTTCCGCTTATGGACATCAAATTGAAACCGGGAAACCTTTGGTGACAGTTTGATGGGGCCCAAGGCTGGGTTTGCCTCTGGCTTCGTTGGCTTCAACCGATGGGGGCGTCAACCCAATGCTAGTGGAGCGGAGGTAAAATAGATTTCATTGCAGCTTTGGGACGTCAAAAGAAGTCAAATGCATTCAAGCAGCGGCTTAAATGCAGCCAATGCGGTTTGACAAATAGTGGTTACAACTCACAACTTTAGAGAATCGACTGGCCGATACGCCAGTGGAATACTAACGACCATTTGGCGTGACGTTACAGGATGAGAACGTTTGGGGACACGTTCCATGTTCCCTGCGGCATATCCCATGTGCTTATCAGCCCAGGCAGATGGACTAGGCGGACAGGTTTCGCCGTAATGATCGGGCTGCACTGCAGCCAACCATTTTGGGAATATCATAGCACTGATTTCGGCAAAGCGACCATGCCTGTCGTTTGAATTATTTTTCATCGCATCAATATTATTTTACTGAAATCAGGCTTTTGATAGTCAGTATTTCTAACGGTGTTTTAAGTTAGATATCACGAATTTGTGCTGCCCATAACACAAACTTGACATGCTGTCATTGTTCAAAATACAATTGACATTAGCAATGAATGATTACTTTATCAGCAGCAGTTCCTTGAACACGCTGAAGGATTTAAACACTATCACGACGCTGCATCATTGGCTTGTATGTGAGCATGGTCATATGCCAACACCATAAGCTGTTACGTCATCTGTCTTGTTTATGCTTTTATACTTAATAGGATTATCGCAAACGGAGCCCTCTCCACTAACAGGCGAAGTCAGCAGAAATAAACACGACCTGTGTGGGCGCACGCCGATAAATTTACATTTGGGGGCACATTCGCCAGAAATTGCATTGACACTATGAATATTACCGCATGGATTCTGAGAGCAGTAATATCATCAAACATTCGGTTCGAC